CATTAAAAGAGTTGAAAATCACTGCCTCTGAGGAATGGAATATTTTAGGGACTGATGTATTTCCTAACAAACTATGGAAGATAATTTGACTTTTTAAACTATGTGCAGGTATAACTTGATGGAGGAAAAAAAATGAACTTAAAGAAATCATTCACATACCATGATGCTATATGCAATCAAGAGCTCAAAGAATGTGAGCTATTCTTATTAACCGTGAATGCTGACATCTCTAAAATCGGACCATTAATAAGAGACTCCATTATTCAAAGTATAACAATCTCATGACAGAGCTCTCTAAAAAGCCCACATCCTGAGAGAGAAAATTCTGTCTGCCATGGCCCATATTAGGCCCCAAGAACACAGCGGTAAACAAGCTAGACTCGGCTCTTTGGGTCATGGGGTTCAGCCATGTGAAGAAGGTGGAGGAATCAAGAGTTGCCTACTTAATGCTGTGCTGGGAAAAGGACAAGGTGTAATGGGGGAAGGGTCCTTGCTCAGACTTGGGGCTGGTCAAAGAGAGCTTCCTGGAGAAGTGGTCACTTTGGAGACCAAGCCCAGCAATTATATCCATCTTTTCATCAAGGCTCCATGTCAACCTCTTTAGCCAAGCACTGTAATGAAACATAAAATAGAAGGTGATCTTTTCTTCTCTCAGAGAACATGCCCCTCAGTTAAGGAGTTTGCCAAGTCCCAAGATTGAATGCCCTTAGGCCCAATAAAATCATAGCCAGAGGAAACGTTCGAACAAAAAGACTCTGGACATGAATGATTCCCTGACATTCAGAAGCACCACCCAAACAAACCAGCCCACTCAGCTCTGAGCCAAATTATTGGGATCCAGGGAACTGCCCACTTCCAGCAGCATGGTTCCCTTGTCATTACTTAAGAAGAGGTTCATTCATGAAATCCATCCCATTGGTATGATACCCCAGACTACATGGGATATGAGCTCCAGACCACATACACTAGAGCCACTGGCTAGTTTTCCTATCACCCTGCAAGTCACAGGGACCAGCTTCCAGAGCAAAGGCCATATGAGCTTTGGACAAACAAGTTCCTCAGAAAATCCTAGAAAATCCCCATCAGTGCATATCCTATGTAGTTGGTAGTCACCTAAATTCTCCAAAAAATAATGATGTGAACCAAAAAGGAAGAGCTATACAAGTGATTGGAAATTGTGACCTAATAACTGAGAGGTGAACCATGGTAGATCCATGATAATTTCAATAGTGAAGGTGATCGATATTTTCCCACTTGGTTATAGAAGGTTTGCGTGACCAATGTGTACTAAAATCTCCTTTTTCTGATTTTTTTCCCAAACAAAATCTCATCCCAAATGTCAGAGAGCTTTTTTTAAAAAAAGCTCTTGTATGCTTGCTTGCTCGCTTGTCTGTTTTTAACCAGAGACCAAAACTGATAGAAATATCTGTTTGATTCAATCCAGAGGATATTTTGGTGTTCAAATTAAATACTTTTCAAAAATATAAAGAACTGGTTCTGGTTCTAACTAGTTCAAAAAGTGGCTTGTTTTATTTTTAAAAATACACATTTGGTTCTTGGTTTCTAAGTTCAGTTTTTTAAAATATAATTTGGGAGCTGAGCACTCAGTCTTTTCTGGTTTTTGGCACCAAGTTTGGTTGGCGTCCTGGCTCTTGACTTCTGTTCACTGGCGCTGACAAGGCAGCTTGCTTAGCTTGGTTCTGCAAGTTCTTGGCAACTAGAAGTGGGACAGGTGCTGTGCTCTTAAACCAGCCATGATTAGCCAAGGAGAAGCCCAATCAGGACACATGAAATGCTGGAGCTGGAAGGCCCTCTGGGGCCAGAGAGCCCAGTGCCCACATTAGAGGAGACCGGTGACAGGGAGACTCACCCAAAGTGGCACCATTAAACAGTGCAGAGTAGACACGATACGTCTGACTCCCTGATTCCCCTCTACTTCACCAAGCCATTTAGAAGACCCTTCCGATGGTCATGCTTTGGGGTAATGAAGGGGATTCCAACAGTAACATTTCAAAGTATTGCTTTTCCATCTCAGCCCTTGAAGTGACGTTCCAGGGGCCAAGGCAAAACGCTGGAAAGCTGCTCTCCAGCCCTAAACCCCACCATGCATCCCCTGACTGTAGAAGCATTTCCCAGATTCCTGTGCAGTGATTCTGGGAAGTGGTGGGTGGGTAGAGGAGCCAGCAGGTATTTAAAAAGACCTAAGGTACTGACATAAGAATGAGCCTATAAATTCTACTGCATCCCCGTTGCCAAGGCAATGCAGGTAGGCCCGAAGCTGGCTTTCAGGCAAGAAATCCCCACCTCCTCTCTCCACACACATTTCTCTGGCCACACATTGCTTTTTATGACAGCTTTACTTTCCCTAGAGAAGGCAGCTCATTTTATCCAGATTCCAATGACATGCAAACAATTCTGAGGAATGTGGGAGAGCCCACAGTATGACTTGCCCTGAGTCCTGGCCTCCCCTTAGAGGTGGGACTGCCTCAAGCCCTTGTCCCCCTAAGCCTCAGAGACGCTGAACACCCCAAGGAGTGGACTGCAGCCCCTCCTCTGCAATCCCTGTCACGTCCCCGCCTTTCATTGCTCTTCCACCAAATACAGGCCTGACAACCTAGCATCCAAACTGTGTCCCACCAAAGTCAATGTGAAAAACACAGGAGCTGGAGTCCACTCCTCTTTTTGAAAAAGCAGAGTGACCATAATCATAAGGAAAGGGGAAGGCCAGCTGTGAGACTCCTGTTCTGCTCTCGGAGGGCCAGGTGGGAGAAAGGAGTTAACGCACATTTTGACTCCATTCTGTTTCTTTTTTCCTTCAAAGAGTTCCATGATGTATGTCAAATACCCCTCCCCCACATCTCTACACACAGAGACACCTTTCTATTCTGAACACAGCTGCTGTGATTAATGATGATAGCCAGGCCATATGGCCCCACTCACTCGGCTCCATCAAGCAGCATCAAGCTCATATGAATAGTATTTACCCCACACTTCTCTGACAGTCAAACTCGGCCACACCAAGAGCCATCGTTCTATTGGCCTGTGCCTCTAAGGGTGATCCACTGAGAGTACACACAGGAGGATAAATCTAGATGTGGTACAGCTTAAAGCCTGGGGCTCATCCCTTTAAAGATCACTAAGGACTAAAATAGTACAGGAGAAAGATCTGTTCTCAGCGTCAACCTAATGTTATCATTAATCAGACTGTTGATGCCTAATTCGTTACTGATTGTATCAGCTGATGGGGCGGAGGCCATGATGTCATTTAATCAGATATAATCTCTGTATGTGCTATGGCTTGGGTAAGGGTGAGCCAGAGTGAATGGGTATATGCGCCAGAGAGAGTGAGAGGCAAGCCCAGCCCAAGGACCGGAGAGAGGACCTCGAGCCTGGGGAGGAAGCAGCAGACGAGCACAATCCATGCCTACGCCAACTTCGTAGCTCTGTCCCGGTCCCACTCCCAACCTCCCTTCCTGTACCCTCAATACCACCATTAGGTAAATCCAGAGAAGCATTCGTTCTTAAGCCAATGCCTCTGAAGAAGCAGGTACAGGTTTGTGTGGCCTGAAATCAACAGGGCCTGGGGTGCCCCGATTTCTGCCACCAATAGAATCTCCCAGTCACATTAAGAAATGGGATGAACTAAGAGTCCCAGAAAGATCTCAGGAGCTAAAGACTATGAATAAACTTTCAAAGTTTGAGTGTTTAGATTTTGTTTCAGTTTTCGTAGGATGCCCTTTATAAATTATCCCAATAAAATGTCATGATCTAAAGCACAGCGATTTACATAATAGAAGCTGGTAAATATGAATAAACTAAGTCACTGAATTAAAGGCTTTATGTTTTAGGCAACATGGGGTTAAGTATCGTGTGCAGAGTTGGTGTTCAAGCAAACCCAGCTCTGTCTCCACCGGGGAACATCACCACATCTGCCTGAGCTGTGGTGTCTTCAGTTCTAAAGTGGGGATGATATCACCACATCTTAATAAATAAGAAGACACGCGAAGCCTGCCACATCAGAAGGGTTCGATAAATGTTCGTTCTCTCCTCCTTACCTCCTTTTCCTCCAAAACTGTAGACTTGTTACACTGGTACCCACACACTTACCACCCTAGGAGCAGTGCAGAGACACAAAGAATAGTATGAACCTACTGCTGTGGGTGGGGGCTGACAAGGGAGATTGACATGTTATTATCTTAGAGAAATAAGATGAATGCATACTGAATCGCACCCACTGGACTCAGAGTCATCCATTTACAAATATTCCAACAAAGGACTAGTTATATTGGATGCATGGTGCTCCCACCTACCCCCTCTTTCAAAAACAAAACAACAAAAGCGTAACAGTTCTGGATGGAGGGTAAAACCCATTTTAAATGATTTCATCCATAGTCCTCAACACCCAGCGCATACTATTTTATACAGATGTGAAGATCTGGCTCCAACTGTGGAAACAAGACTGCCACTTCGGGGTTAAAACATGCAGGCTCTGGGCTCTTTGCATAAGGACATTTTGAAAATTTTAAGATGGTACCATCAGGGAGGGCCAACCACGAAGCTTTGTCTTTGCCTGTGTGGTCTGTGAGAGCAGGGGAGCTAAGGGGAAGGGTTTCCATCAGGTCCCCACCAGGGACCCCCTTGAACTGACTGCAAACGCAGAAACTCACATCGCCAGACATGGGGATTTTTCCAATTTGCCCTGCCGGAACCACCCGATGCGGCACCACCCGACGCATCAGGCAAATGAATCCCAGTCATGAAACTATAAGTGTTTTCCTCAATCCACTGAGAGACACCAGACTGTTTCTGCCATGGTTCAACTGTGGGTTCATCCCAGCTAGCCCTAATCATTGTCCCCTGCATGCAAAGGAACTTGGAATTGTGTGCTGGGGCGATGTCAGAATGGCTTCGTTGTTAGGCAAGAATATATCCAGTGTGAGGCGAGAGAGGATATATATGAATGTGTGAGGCGGTATGTTTCTGCCCCCGCCTCTCCTCTCCTGCCATCTCCAGTCAGCAGTCAGCAATATAGGAGGCTGCCATGACAGCCCCCACCCCAGCGCATCCAACTCTGCTCTGTAAGCAACCCAATCTCACCAGATTTTCCTCACAAGATTTTCCTCAGAAGATTTTCTCACAAGATTTCCTCACAAGATTTTCCTCACAAGATTTTCCTCCCCCTTAAAAACCCACCACTGTGCCATGTTTGCTGACACTTCTAGCCTAGACACCATCAGCAGTGGTGGGGCAGCTGGGCCATCAATTTAGAAAGCATATCAGGTTAAAATGTTCTTTAATGAAGCACCACTCTGCAGGGACCCGTTCCAGATCACGATGAGATTAATATGCATATTAGAATGTGTGAATAATCTTTGCCTACTGTAATAACATTCCATAAGGCTCCAGGCATAAGGAAACATGTATTTTAGTACTGGATTGATGGGGGAAAAAAAAATGGGAGTAAAGATTCAGCTCACAAATGGAGAAAATATTTAATTCGTTGAGAAATAAGCAAAACATCAAGGCTGTAAGTGGTCCATTACAGTGTTCGAAAAGGCATCTGCAATACTGGAGCACTGAACACAGACCTCATCATAACTCCACCACAAGAAAAGCTACTCTTCCAAGACCAAGGAGGGGAGAAAGGGGAGGAATTATACTGGCGCTGTATTTTGCCCCCTGATTATAAAATTCTAGGTTCCTAGGGAAGAATTCAGCCTGCCGTCATGGTCAGTAAAAATGATCAGTTTTATACCACAAAACCTGGTAAAGACGAAGGGGGGAACGCAGCAGGGGAAAGAAAATGTTCACACATCAACTTGTCCAGAAACAAGAATCCAGAGAGTTGCTTGACATTTACTAGCATCAGTTCAGCTGAGATAAAGTAAATTTATGCATGAAACCAGGTCAGTTATTTGACCAAACTATGACTTTGATTATAGGCATTCAGGAGAGAGCAAAAGCAGCTGCAAACAATCACCTGTCTGGGACGGTCACCGCATCTGTCACCCATGGTTCGCCGAGAGCAGGCAGACGTGGCGGCGAAGCTAGGACTGCGCTGCAGGGCTCAAGCTTCAAATGCGTGATAATAAATGGATGAAGACAATAAAGTTTTATAAGTACACACCTAAAAATATATTTTTAATGGCTTCTGTGAGACAGGCTGGCATAGGGCCAGAATAATAAAATAGCTAGGTCTGCTCCAATGCCCTCATTTGATCGGACTGCCGAGACCCGAAGCGGCAAAGGGACTTGCTCAGGGCTACACACCGAAGTATTAATAGACCCAGAATGAGAACACTAGGCCCCAGCTCCTCGATGAGCATATTTTCCACTATACCTCATTGTCTAAAAGAAAAGTGCCAATTAGAGGCACAAAAAGTAACAAAGCTGGTGATGACTATAATGGATGATTACGTCTTTTCAGAGGGCATGAAAAAGAGAGCTGAGTAGAGGCTGATGTGAAGGAGCTTCTTCAGTATATAATTAACTGCTGGCTTCTTTGTATTGTTCCAATAATGAACTCAGCCACGTTCTGCAGAACAACCTTGCCTGCAGGGGCAAGAAAAGTGGGGCCACTCTCTTCGGAAGGCTGCTCATGGGTGGGGGTCCCTGGCAGGCTCTGAGTCCCTGGCTGCATTTCTCCCTCATATGCACTTACGCTGATGCGACCTAACAGATGATTTCTTGCTGCAGGCAGTTGTCAGCGCAGGCAAAGATGCGCCGGCAGCCCCTGGGCTTCCCACACCCCGGCCCTTCCAGCTGAGGAAGGGCACAGGGAGCCTGAGGAGTGCCTCAGTACCTCGCCTCTTTCCAGCCAGCTGAGAAATGTGCTCTGAGCTGCTCTGCGGGATGAAGCTCCAGAGACTCCGGAAGCCTGTGATCTACCCACTTCCCCAGTGATCTAACTGGAGGCCAGTGGGGAGACGGAAGTTGTAGATTCGCAGACACAAAAGCTTAAATTGTTGAGACAGGAGGAGCCCTGGAGATGACTTAGTCCAATCTCTTTATTTTAAAGTTGAAGTGTAGGGCCCAGGGGCCCAGAGGGGCAAAGGGACTGGCCTGTGGTAACACAGCGGGAGGGCGGGGGGGGGGGCAGGCCCGTCGGATGTTCCGTTCCTCTGCTGTTCCCTGCACACACACACTCTCGGCCACTCTTCCCAGCCCGGATTCTTAGTGCCCAGAGTGCTGAAATAGCTTCCAGAGCCCCCTGAAGTTTCTGCTACTTGCTGAAAAGAAAGGTCAATTCCTGATGAGAGGTGGGTCGAGGCCATTATTTTTTCCTCTCCTATTAATCAACACCTGGGCACAGGGGTCTCCCTTTCCTGAAACATCATCCAAAAAGCAGTTTCACAGATAGTGAGTGATGGATTTGGCAACACTGGCAACTCCTTTGTTCAAACAGAAGGGGGACAGACACACTGACGGGCAGGTAGAACTACCCCAAATTATGCCCTTAGTCTCAAAATCCAAGATGAGGTTTTAAAAACTTCTGAGGGAGGAGAACTATCCAGAACGTGGGAGCTAAAATGGAGGAGGAAACTAAGAACCAGACATATTAACATCTGTCCAAAGTCGGATAACTAAATAGTGACACACCAGTGACAATATGGAAAGAAAACCTAGACAAGGCTGACACACCAGATCAGCAAAAGGCCATGGAACGCTGACCACAGGCACATATAAAGAGAAATGTTTAATTAAAACTTCAAACTGCGGGGCGCCTGGGTGGGGGTGGGCTGGGAAGAGGACCACAGAGAAATGTTTAATTAAAACTTCAAACGCTGGGCATCTGCCTTCCGTTCAAGTCATGATCCCAGGGTCCTGGGATCGAGCCCCGCAGCGGGCTCCCTGCTCGGCGGGAAGCCTGCTTCTCCCTCTGCCTACTGTTCCCCCTGCATGTGCGCTCGATCTCTCTCTCTCTCTCTCTCTCTCAAATAAATAAATAAATAATAAAATCTTAAAAAATAAATAAATAAAACTTCAAACTGCCACAACCCATCTGGTGTTCCTGCCCTCTCATTTCCCAGTACCTATGCCTGGGCTCCTGAGGCCCCCACCTCGGGTCAGGGCTGGCATCATGGGCGTGTGTGGCCAGTGCACTGTCCGGGGCCCAGGGCTCAGGGATTCAGGCTCTAAAGCCACTGTCCTGAAATGCTTCATTTGATCTTTAATTTCTGTTTTGTAAGTGAAATCCCATGGGAGAGCAGAACATGCACGGGGAACTTGCTCCCACCCTCCACCACCTCCCTGCCTCCCTGGGATGGGGGTTCTTAGTTGCTCATGGGTCCTGGTGCCCTGACTCCACCTACCTACCACGCCTCCCCATCCTGCTGCCCTCTGCCTAGGGTGGCAATCAAGTCACTTAGGCCGGGAGACAGGATTCTGCCATTACTCCCTGCTCCCAGAGGGGGCCTAGGCACAAGCAGGGGTGCTGAGAGGTTCGGGGTTGTGTCTCAGGACAGAGCATGGTAACAGCTGTCCCCATCCTGGCAGTGGACAATTGGGCAGGTGTGAGCCTCTCATCTACCACCAATCCAGGACCAAACGCTTCCCAGTGGCGGAAGTTGCAATCCCTGTGGGGACACCAGTCCTCAGCGAGTTGGAGCTTTGGGCTTGGGGGAAGAGGAGATCGGTTTCCATGACCCTGTGATGTGGTGGCTGGCAGGAAGGGAGCCTGGAAGTTGGTGGGCCGCACTGCTAAGTAACAGGGTTCCCGGCACTTAGGAGAATTTATACTGACCTTGCAAATCACCCCATGTCCAAGGGAGTGCGATATTAAATAGCAAGTAAAAAGCCAACATAATAGAGAGACTGGAAAGAGAGGAAAGAGTTTTATATTCTAGTACCTTTAATAGAACTCTTTTCCAGTGTTTTTAACAAGGACCCTGCATTTTCATTTTGCACAATAAATGTATATAGCTGGCCCTGACTCAGATTTAGCCCAAGCCATGGGACCTATCATGTCCATAAAGGAATTTAAAGGCCCAAAATCTCAGTAGTGTAAGCGATCAATCCTTGCTTGAATGTGCGCTCTGGCTCTCGTTCTTCCTGACCCATGCTGTACCCTTCTGTGATTGCTAAGTTCCTACCTTGACCAACTTGCCTCACTCCGTGCCGGGAGTCTTCCACCAGAACCTCTATCCCTAAGGTCTGCTACCAGATCTTCCAAAGGCCACCTGCTTGTCAGAACTTCCATCACCGCCTCCTACGGGAACCTCTCAGGGCTCCTGCCAAGGAGAGGTAAGAGCCAACATCTCTTAGGTGACCACTCAATGCCAAGTCTTCACCACAGGCCAATTCTGTCTGTTTGAAGCAAAACTAGCCCAGCTGTGACATAAAAGGCGACAGTTCTGTTTTATGAAGCAGCTTCTTTTGCCTGGTTTCTCTGTGTTAATTCTGGGCAGTACAAGGAACAAGGAACACTATCTCCACAGAAAGAAAACATCGTGAGTTGGAATCCCTTCGTGTGTTGAAGGACAATTGGAAGATTTGATACTTTGGGAATGGGGTTACCCTAAGGATGGGGGTGAGTTTTTTTCTCTTGATCAACAGAAGGCAAAGCAAAAGCAGATGAACTTCACTTTTAGCCAAGAGGGATTTAACACAAAGAGAACATTCCTAGAACCAGTAATTGTTTGGTGGGATAAGTAACTTGGAATGTATCGAAATGGTCTGGGATTCCTGCAAACAGACTTGGGTTTGAATTCGTTCACTAGCTGTGTGATCTTGGGCAACCTGGCTTCTTTGAGTATCCACCTGTAAAGTGGGGAGGATGACAAAACCCTCACCATGCTGCTTGTGAAACTGTCCCACACTTGGCATTCAGTAATTCTGTCTTATGTTTCAGTTGCAAACATCCTGGTATAGGGCAATCTGGCAGCTCCGAGTCAGAATTACAGATCTGCCACTCACTGAACTACTTTTAGAGAGAGAACAAGGAGTCTAGGTTTTGGCATGTAAACACGGGATGACACTATCTAAAACACGGGGCTGTTTTGAGTATTAAGTGAGAGAGTCTGTATAAGCGTGTGAAATGCAGTCAGCACTCAACAAATGTTTTCTTCCTTCCAAACTAGTACACACACACACACACACACACACACACACAAAGCTTCCATCAGTAATAGAAAGGGAAAGGTTGACTGATCCTTATTCTTTCATTCTTATTGTTATTGTTTTATTGCTAGGTAGATGAAAGCCAAACAGACTTGTGGAAATTCAAGATTATTTTTATTTACTCATACACAAGAGGGACTTTAAGGAAACAAAATATGGAACATAAAAGTCCAAGATTCACTTTAACAATGAAAATGTAAACACCACCCTAATTGATGTCCTTGGTCATTGCGGTTTCCCTGCCTTTGGAACATGGCTGAGCTGGGTCTTCATTCAGGACCATGGCCTCCAAAATTCTGCTGCCCTCGCAAGTGGCAAGTGCCAATGGTCTCCACCTGACCCCCCAAGGTAAACATCACCGCCAGCTTCCTGCTACCAGATCCTTCCCTTCAGCCTGACTATATCTCTCTCTCTCCCCCTTCTCTCAGGAGATCAAATGTTGATGCACTATATATACCTATTTTTTAATAAGGCTAATTTAAGCTTTAATTTGTACTTTAAAATAAATTCTCCTAGGACATGGACCCACTAGGGAATTATTACAAATAGCTCTTCGCGGTACACATTTAACGAACATTTAACTAAAGAAAGAAAATGTACACTTCCCTTTTTTTTCAACTGCTGAGTGCCATCAACCCAATCAGTCATTTCTTTTTAACTACATTTGCCATAAAAGCACTTATTTTATGGCGGCCGTGACATAAGCACTGCTGTTGCACCTTATGATTAATAAAGTAATTATCACCAGTTCTAATATTCTCAGCAAAAAGGGCCGGGCCGGGCTCTAGATATTTCTGTTCCACTAATAGTTTTCCTAAAGCGATGCGGCGTACATGGAGGGCTGCATGCAGGGGCCCGCAGAATGCATTCTCTAATGTACATCATTGCGATCAATTGACAAATGACATCAGTCTGGGTTCGTCATCATACAGAAAATACCATTTGAGAGGAAACAGGAATGGAAGGAGGCAGGCAGGGGTAATTTGCTTTTCATTGTTGATTTAT